ATTATAAGACATTTCTTAGCCACTCCACATTTCAAGATGAAGCTCATGCATATACATTAGACCAACTCTTTTGCTTAAACACTTGGCTGAGATTGTTAAGGGACTTTCTCAGTCCTTTTGGCCCCGATTGCTGCGCTAAGGTTCTTAAATATTACATGCTCATTAGTGCATGTAAGTGCACGCTTTTCACCCCAGAACACTCGGGATCTTTACGTCATCTTTCTGCCTCAGCTGCTCTTTCATCTGGATCATGGAACGTTGCAGGGTTAACACGGTGTTGCTGGCTTTGCTTCAGGAAGCTCCTTGATTACATTGATCGACACATCCACAAGGTGTTTCCAAGCACAAGCACTCACAGAACATTTGCTATGGAAGATGGTAATTTGGAGAACTGCCTTTTCCCTTTCACACTGATATGCCATGTGTATCTGTACAGCTTCCCACTGTGAGAGCCTCATTCAGGTGTGGCTCTGGGCCGGCCCTGTGGACTGCGGGATCTGGAACAGGACTGTAGCTAACTGGGCAGTTACCCTGGGTGGCTGGAATCGGCTGTTTCTGAAAGGCAGATTATATAAGTAGCACTCTCAGACCCAGGGGATAAGTGTGGGGCTAAAAAGGGAAAGCTCAGACAAGATGAAGCCAGATGAACACAGGAATGGAGCAGGAAGCAAGGTCTTGTGTTGAGGAGAGGGGACTGCCAGCCCAGAGCTCTTTTGAAAAAAATTATTTGTGGGGTTGCTTGCTGCTATTTGGTATGTGGACTGGCTGAGACAAAACCAAACCAAACCAAAACCAAGATTTAGTAACACCTGAGTGGATGATTAGATAATCCTAAATTGCCAAAATGACTACCTACCTGCAAGCTTCCCAGGTGGGCTTAAAGCTACCTTGAAGCATGCGTTGCATTTGCCTTACAGAAAGGTGGAGTGTGTCAGCCCAGCGGTTACACGGAGTTTGAGTGTAATCGTTTTGTGGTCTCACTGTCTAATGATGGGCTTAACAAGCTATCTGTATATTGGAGTTTTATCTTTGATAATTTTCTGTGGTTCCATAGTCTAAATTTGGTGAGTTAATATTCTGAAACACTTTTGAACCAGAGCAACTGAACTCCAGTTTCTGATTCAAAATAGGTAATGTTTTCAGTTTAGATCATGAAATATTAGAACTGAGAGGGAGCTTTACTTCACGTCTTTTGACACCATCCTATAGCAGACTCTTTCTTCATTTATTTGTTTTCTTATTGCTTATTCTGTTGAGCATCTACTGTGTGACAAACACTACTCCTGACAAGAGCATATTCTGAAAAGAGATAAAATCTATTAGACTTAAGTTTCCCATAAGCAGCAGGTTTGTTAGATTTTTATCCTGTTGTGGATCTGTCTGTTTGCATACTTACAAACATGGAGCTTTTTTGACCATTCTTTTTTTTAAAAAAATGGAGTCTCACTCTGTCGCCTAGGCTAGAGTGCAATGGCACGATCTCAGCTCACTGCAACTTCCACCTCCCAGGTTCAAGCAATTCTTGTGCCTCAGCCTCCCAAGTAGCTGGGGCTACAGGTGTGCACTACCACAGCCAGCTAATTTTTGTATTTTTAATAGAGACAGAATTTCAGCATGTTGGTCAGGCTGGTTTGGAACTCCTGCCCTCAAGTGATCTGCCCACCTCGGACTCCCAAAGTGCTGGGATTACAGGCGTGAGCCACCGCGCCCGGCCTTTTTTGTTCATTCTTTTTCTTTGGAACTTTGGCTTTGGTGATTGCATGGTATCAGAAACAGATAAGAATCTCATTGAATAGTTATTTTTGCTCTTCATTAAGTCTTAGTGATTTAAGAAAGGTGACTGTAAGATGCCTATATTGACTTGCTGTCCTTACAGAGTGAATTCTTCTTTTCTTCTAGAATCATAGGTCCTAACTGGATTGCATATCCTTGATGAAGCTAGACCCCTTTTATGTTATAGAACTTTTATGGAAATATAAATAGATACATACTCAATTTTGCTGGTGTTTATTTTTTTACTTAACTAGGATAATTTAATCTTGCCTTGATTCTTCCACTTTTTTACATAGTAATTGTGTTTGATTATATTCAATTAAAACAATTTACTTCTTTTTTCATTTCCTTGGAGGAAAAATTACTTTTATCAATTTAAAACAAATCAGGAAATTCTAAGTGAAGATCACTCTGCTTCCATGAATTTTATATTTGTAGCAATTTATTCTTTTTTAAATAAAAAAGACTTTTATGAAACTGCTAATAATTATAACTTTGTTCAGTGTTACATGTTTCTTCAAATGTGGCTGCTTTCCAAATACCACAAATAGTTTATTTTACCTTTAAGAGATGTTTTAAATTGAATCATTGGTTAATTCTGAAAGTGATTCAAGCAGAATTTATAATCCTCTAAACTATGACTCTTTAAAACTTGCTAATTTAAAAAAGAAATCAAAGTTGGCTCTTTTCTCATAGTTTAAGAACTTGGCAATGAAAAGGAAACTGCAAGCATTTATTTCAACTGATTTTGAAACCGTGGTTTAGTCTTCAACTCTTTAACAAAACGGGGAATACCATATGTAACAGTCCAACATAAATTTTTTGCTTTTTGTGTCTTGAAAGTTTCCTGCCTCACTTTCTCTTTGGTGTGCTGGATATTTTTATTCAGTCGATAAATTGTAAATATCCTAGAATATTTTATATGAGACTTATTTAATCTATGAGATTGTATCCTTGCTATTTTACATGCCAGAGCATTTTGGCATTTGATTCACTTCTACCCTCAATAAACAGCTTAGGATAAAGTACTTCTGAGAATTGCTGAAGAGGGGTGGGTCTTGGCAATGATCAAACCCAGTGGGATAAAATTGTGTTAAATTGTGAATATTATATGCGTAACCAGGAGATTTGAGGAGTTCAGCAGTACTAATCATTGAACAACAGTGTTCATAAGTAACTGAAAGAATGTAATTGAAAGAGAAGCAAAAAAAAGGATTGTGGAGAAAGATAAAAAGGAAAGGACATTTATTTGTTCAAGTAAATGAGAGGAGAATCTGCTGCATGGACAAAGCCTCAGTCCTTTCTTAAAATGTTGACTGCTACTTTGATTTACAATTCCTACCTTCCCTACTTTGCTGCATTTTTCCTTTTCAGCACCTCCCCCCCACTTTTTTTTTTTAATAATTTTATTTTTTTTATACTTTAAGTTCTGGGATACATGTGCAGAATGTGCAGGCTTATTACATAGGTAAACACATGCCATGGTGGTTTGCTGCACCCATCAACCCATCATCTACATTAGGTATTTCTCCTAATGCTATCCCTCCCCCAGCCCCCACCCCCCAATAGGCCCTGGTGTGTGATATTCCCCTCCCTGTATCCATGTGTTCTCATTGTTCAACTCCCACTTATGAGTGAGAACATGTGGTGTTTGGTTTTCTGTTCCTGTGTTAGTTTGCTGAGAGTGATGGTTTCCAGCTTCATCCATGCCCTGCAAAGGACATGAACTCATTCTTTTTTATGGCTGCATAGTATTCCATGGTGTATATGTGCCACATTTTCTTTATCTAGTCTCTCATTGATGGGCATTTGGTTGGTTCCAGTCTTTGCTATTGTGAATAGTGCTGCAATACATTTTATAATTTTATTTCATATCTCTCTTCTGATACCCTCCACCACTCCTGTTTCCTTTTGAGAACTGATGCTAAAGACGGTCTATTCTAGTGGTTCTCTACTAGAAGCAATTTTTCTCCCCAGCCACAGATACACTGGAAAATTTCTGAAAACAGTTTTGCTTGTCACAACTGGGGAGAAGGGCACTACTATTAACCAAAGGGTGAAGTCAAAAATGTTGTGAAATGACCTACAGTGCAGAGGAGAGCACCCACAACAAAACCCTAGTCTACCCATTTATTACCTCTTTTTTTTCTCCTGAGAAGTCACCACTATCAGGAAGTTGGGGTGAATTATCTCCCTGGAATTTTTCTTTTTTTATTTTTTCCAGGTCAACATTTATTCATTCTGATGAATTCTGTCACATATATTTAGCATTAAACAGAAGCAAATTGTAAACCACCAAATATTGGAAGAGAGGTATTTACTTTTCTTGGTTTTTCATTAAAATGGCAAGAATGCTATAAAGACTCCCTATTCACAATAGCAAAGACTTGGAATCAACCCAAATTTCCATCAGTGACAGACTGGATTCAGAAAATGTGGCACATATACACCATGGAATACTACGCAGCCATGAAAAAGGATGAGTTTGTGTCCTTTGTAGGGACATGGATGCAGCTGGAAACCATCATTCTCAGCAAACTATCGCAAGAACAGAAAACCAAACACCACATGTTCTCACTCATAGGTGGGAACTGAACAATGAGATCACGTGGACTCGGGAAGGGGAACATCACACACCGGGGCCTATTATGGGGAGGGGGGAGTGGGGAGGGATTGCATTGGGAGTTATATCTGATGTAAAGGACGAGTTGATGGGTGCTGACAAGTTAATGGGTGCAGCACACCAACATGGCACAAGTATACATATGTAACAAACCTGCACGTTATGCACATGTACCCTAGAACTTAAAGTATAATGATAATAAAAAAAAAATGAAAGACATCAGACCACAGACAGCATTCTATGTCTTATAATGGCCAAACCTTTTGAAACTAGTAAAACGTACAAATTTAAGGGAGCCTCCCCCCAACGTTTAAAAAACTAATTTGCTCTTTTCTGGGCTTTCCCCTGCAGCTATCTCCACAATAGATGATTGTCCCACACAGATGCAGTCCTGCCACGAAGGCTCTTGGCCTTCCCGGCTGCTCTGCCTGCCGCTCGCCAAGTGAGGACAGAGGGTCTTTCTCTGGGGTGTGCTTTATTTAATATGTGCTCAGCCGGCCTACTCTGGCTCTTCTAATACATATTAATGCCTTTTCCTCCCTGACTTATGAAGACATGATCATTTGATCATTTCTTGTTCTGAATGTTCTTTTTGTGCTGACAGAGAAAGAGATGACTTGATGTCTGCACTAGTTTCCGTAAGGAGCAGCTTGGCAGATACGCAGCAAAGAGAAGCAAGTGCGTATGAACAGGTGAAACAAGTTTTGCAAATATCTGAGGAAGCCAATTTTGAAAAAACCAAGGCAAGTCTAATAAGATGCAAATAAAAGCGTCTTTTTTTTTTTCTTTTTTCTTCTGAGTATTTATTTGGTTATTCTTCTGTAACTAAACTCTGTTTTTCAAACACACAAAGTGAATTATCAATCTGTTAATGTTGACTTTTCTGAATTAAACAAATTTGCTATTTGGAGAATTCTTATTCCTCTGCAAATACTGTTGTATCACTGTTCAGAGAATGTAGTACAGTATAATACTTTGAGAGACCTATATGCTTAATCTTTTTATTTGCTGATAATTTGCAATGCTGCAAAAATCTTAACACCCAGGCATTAGTTTATTTATGTTCATATATGATTAAAGACAAATGTTTTTCCTCAATAATTGGTAAGTTTTGAGAAAATCCAAATACACCAAAGATAATAATATGTACATATTTAGTAACATTTCTTTCTTTCTTTTTTTTTTTTTTTTTTTGAGATGGAGTCTTGCCTTGTCGCCCAGGCTGGAGTGCAATAGCATGATTTCCGTTCACAGCAACCTCTGCCTCCTGGGTTCAAGTGATTCTCCTGCCTCAGCCTCCCACGTAACTGGGATTACAGGCATGGGCCGTCATGCCCAGCTAATTTTTGTATTTTTAGCCGAGATGGAGTTTCACTATGTTAGCCAGGCTGGTCTCGAACTCATGACCTCAGGTGATCTGCCCACCTCGTCCTCCCAAAGTGCTGAGATTACAGGCGTGAGCTACCACGCCTGGTCTTAGTAGCATCTTTGAGTCTGGACTTACTGTAAGGTAACTCAAACATACCTAAGGAGAATAACAGTTTATACTTAGTGATCAGATGGTGTTAAAGGCAGTTTGAAGAATAGGAGGTTACTGTTGATTCATTACTGTATTTGGGGGCCACACCGTAATCCGTTAAAGTTGCATGTATTTTCCCTAGACACACTAGCATACAATTCAAGTTCTTAATGGCCACATGTAGTGAATATTGGACAGTGCAGATATAGAGCATTTTCATTATCATGAAAAGTTTTGTTGGATAGCACTGGTCTAAACCATATACTAATCTCAGTGTTTTATTAAAATATTAGGGCTACATTACTGAGTATATGCCCAGAGGAATAGAAATCATTCTGCCACAAAGACACATGCACGTGAATGTTGATTGCAGCAACCTTCACAATAGCAAATGTAAATGATGGAATTGATGAAATCAACCTAAATTGATGGAATCAATCTAAATGTTCATCACTGACAGATTATATAAAGAAAATATGGAACATAGACACCATGGAATAGTATGTAGCCGTAAAAAGAATGAGATCAGATCTTTTGCAGGAACATGCATGGAGCCAGAAGCAATTATTCTTAGCAAACTAATGCAGGGACAGAAAGCCAAATACTACATATTCTTACTGATAAGTGGGAGCTAAATGATAAGAACTTAGGAGCACAAAGTAGGAAACCACAGATAGTGGCATCTCCTTGAAGATATAGGGTGGGGGGAGGGAGAGGAGCAGAAGAGATCACTACTGGGTACTGGGCTTAATACCTGGGTGATAAAATAATCTGTATAACAAACCCCTGTGACATGAGTTTACCTATATAACAAACCTTCACATGTACCCCCGAACCTGAAATAGAAGTTGAAACAAAATTAGGGCTATTCAATTCTGCATTAAGCCTCTTGTCAGCCATTGCTATGTCCATTTGTCTTTATACAGTTCATCCATAACTCTTCCCATTTGACCCTCATGCCTTCTGAAACTTAGGTTCAGTTATAACCAAACTCCCCACCATATTGTTTCCTCAAACTCTCCTGTTTCTTCATTTGTTCTGAGCTCTAGCTGTCCCTCGATATCATGACTTTCAAAACCTTCCGCGAATGCCCTTGTGTCAGTCAAGTCATCTCATGTGAATGCGACGGAGGAAACCGCAGTTACTTCACTCCCGACTGCCATTTCCAGGGCTTTGTTTTGACACTTACTCTCAGGTCCTATTCCTCTTTGAAATTAAGCTACCACTCTGTGTTAATCTGTTTTGCATTGCTATGAAGAAAGAGTGGAAACTGGGTAATTTATAAAGAGAAGTTAAGTGGTTTATTTTGGCTCATGTTGTGCAGGCTGCATACGAAGCATGGGGCCAACATATGCTTCTGGTAAGGCCTCAGGAAGCTTTCACTCTGACAGCAGGCAGAGGGGAGCAAGCCTCACAAGGGAGCAGGACTGAGCACAGAGGAGAGGGGCCAGGCTCTTTCTAACCATCAGACCTCAGGATAACTAATAGGGCACCAAGCCATTCATGATGGATCCACCCCCATAACCCAAACACCTCCCACCAGGCCCCACCTCCAACACTGGAAGTCACATTTCAACACGAGAGATTTGGAGCGGACAGGTATCCAAACCATATCACACTCCTCTTTGAAATCAGTGTTGTCTCTCTTCTCCCTAATCAATAATATTTCTCAATCGACAAGGTGCTCTTTGACCCTTTCTATTTTATTTTAGTTTTATTTTTATTATCATTTTTTTGAAACAGAGTTTCATTCCAGCCTAGGCTGGAGTGCAACGGCACCATCTCGGCTCACTGTAACCTCAGTCTCCTGGGATCAAGTGATTCTCCCACCTCAGCCTCCCAAGTAGCTGGGACTACAGGCATGCACCACCATGCCCGGCTAATTTTGTATTTTTAGTAGAGACGAGGTTTCACCATGTTGGCCAGGCTGGTCTCGAACTCCTGAGCTCAGGTGATGCACCCACCTCGGCCTCCCAAAGTGCTGGGACTACAGGCGTGAGCCACTGCACCTGGCCCCTTTTTAAAAGTTTTAACATCTGACCCTTTTCCTCTTCATTCTGTCTCTTTTGTCATCCTTAAATGTTTGAATTTCCATGTTGTTGATACACAAAACACTAATACTCCTCAGCTTCCTTAACTCTACTACATCCCCTACTTCTATGCCAACCTCCCGCATGAACTGAAGTTCCCCTAGGATCTCAAACTCTGAAACCACACTCTCTGACTAGAGCCTTCCCTCTTCTTTCCTCCCTGTCAAAGTTAAATCTGCTCCATGTCTTCATTTTCGCCTCTAGTTCTTCAGCATTCTTTTTATCTCTCATTTTATCTGTTGTGTCCAGGCTGGTCTTCTTTTCTTCCCATTTAAATATAAATTTTACAATCTCAAATTGAATTCACATAGTCACTCTCCCAAATCTGCTGCCCCTTCTGTATTCTCTTACTGGATGGCACTTTTATCCACTAACATGCTCTGATCAGAAAACTGGATTTCACCCTGTCCTTCACCCGTAACTTTTAACCAGTCACTAAGTACAGGTCTGAGTTTCTAACGTTTTCTTGAATTCTTTCCCTCATTAACACTTTTCCTACGGAAGCTGAGTAATCTCTGGATTTATCTACTACACTTCTTCCTAGCTTGCCTCCCTCCTTCGTTCCACTCCCTGCACTGCAGCCAGAAGCGATCTTTCTTAAACACACATTTGGTCATGTGACTCTGATTTAAAATCCTTCGGTGAATTTTCACTGCCTTCAAGACAGTCTCCACATTCTTTCCCATGCCCGTGGTCTGTCATAATGTGGCTCCCTTTTGTCCTCCAAGGCTGCTGCTGTTTTCCTCCTCTCACACCCTGTCCCCCAGTACACTCAGCTGTCGTCAAAGCCAGGAGCGTTTAGGGAGTGAACATGGGCTTACTAGAGTTAGCCAGACCTAGATTCAACTTCTGGCCCCACCATTCACTCGCTATGTGACCTTGGACAAGTTACTTTAACTTCTCCGTGCCCCAGTCTTTCCTCATCTGTAAAACGGAGAAATATGTGACTCGTAGGATTGTGAATGAGGACTGCATTTTAAAAATGTATGTTGGTTATCTTATACAAACCCAGGCAGGCACAAAATATTTTCTCAATAAATAGTGGTAGTGGTGAGAACCCTGCTGATTATCCCATCCTCTCTCCAGCCTCTGAGTCTTTGTATGTGCCATACACATTCTTCTCCACTCCACTGCCTGTATATTTCTCTAGCCTTACCTGTCTTAGCCCACATGATACTCCCTCTAGGAAACCACTGATCTCCCCTGCCTGGATTTGATGTACCCCTAATACGCCTTTATAGCAGGGGTTTTCAACCTTGGCGCTATTGACATTTTGGGCTACGTAGCTCTTTGTTTTGGATGCTGTTCTGCACATTGTAGGATGTTTAGAAGCATTCCTGGCCTCTACCTGCTCAATTCCAGTAACTTACCCTCCTCCCCCAAGTTGTGACAACCAAAAATGTCTCCAGACATTGCCAAATGTCTTTTGGAGGGCAAATTTGCCCCCATTTGAGAACTACTACTTATTAGAGCATTTATCAAAATGTATTATTATTGCTTATTTGTCCGTATCCTTCATTAAACTTTTTTTAAAAAATTCAGCTTTTATTTTCGATACAGGGGTACGTGTGTAGGATTGTTACATGGTGGACCCAGGTATTGAGCATAGTGCCCAGTAGGTACTTTTCCAGCCCATGACCCCCTCTCTCCAACCCCAAGTTGTCTGCAGTGTCTGTTGCTCCCATGCTTATGTCCGTGTGTGCACAACGTTTAGCTCCCATTTATAAATGAGAGCATATGGTGTTTGGTTTTCTGTTACTGCATTAATTTGCTTAGGATTATGGCTTCCAGCTACATCCATGTCACTGCAAAGCACATGATTTCATTCTTTTTTATGGATGTATACATTCCCTGGTATATATGTACCATGTTTTCTTTATCCAGCCTGCCATTGATGGGCACCTGGATTGATTCCATGTCTTTTTTTTTTTTTTTTGAGATGGAATCTTGCTCTGTCGCCCAAGCTAGAGTGCCGTGGTGTGATCTTGGTTAACTGTATCCTCCGCCTCCAGGATTCAAGTGATTCTTCTGTCTCAGCCTCCCGAGTAGCTGGGATTACAGGTGTGCACCATCACGCCAGGCTGATTTCTGTATTTTTAGTGAAGACGAGGTTTTGCCATGTTGGCCAGGCTGG